TAAATCACCTCGGTACCGCTGTCTTCAAACTGTCCTCTGTCTGTCTCAGAGTGTTCACTGGGGGCTGCTGAGCCCCGTTCTGTTGCACGCTAACAGCAGCTACATGAGCAGTTAGTGGAGTTGAGGCTGAGCAGCCGGAGGACGTCAGAGTGAAAACCAGACAATATTCTCTCCATAAAATCTGAATCAGTTTCACCCAAATCACTGATAAAGTTGTGTTTGTACAGTAATCAGTGAGCTCCACTAGCTAACTAATGAATCTTCACTCTGTTGAAGATTGACGAGTGAAGGTCTTGATATTATTGGTAGAAATCAGTTAGTTCACGCTAACAAAAAAAGCATGCCTCACATTTTGTTTTACAGGAAGACACAATTATTGGATTTTGATATAAAAATACAAAGAAGTTGAGTTGTCTGTGAATGTTTTATCATAAATTGCAAAATAGTGGAACAATGCCTATAACTGAGGATGCGATCTTAAATAATGTATTCTTTACATTTGTGGGAAAAGGTAGTGTGAGCTATCGTAGAAACATGGCGGACTTCATGGCAGGCGACCTGTGATGTCTGTAGATTAAAACAGCTCATTATAAGGCAGCAAAAACACAACAATTCCTGTATTCAGGTGATTATACACGAATGGAAACATACCTGTGAATAACAATAAATCCTCCTGAATGTTACATGCTGAACCTTTAAATAATCAGAATCATTTTCAGTTTGTTTTTCAACTTGACTGCAGTGATGATGCATTCTGATTATGCCAGAAAAATATACGCCACATTCAGGACATGTGGGAGTTACTGCAGTCAAAGGCGCTCACATCAACATCGAAGATGTCATTAAAACTGGGAAACTGTAATTTTTCTGAATGTGCCTGATTAGGAAAATAAATGCTGATGCTTCACACCAGGCACACTCCAACATTTGAGGTAATTAAACCCAAATTTAATGAAAATAGTGCTTTACTGCCAATGCACAGCCATACAGCAGCAACACCTGCTGATCATTTCAGGGATATTTACCATCAAATGAGAGAAAAATTGTGAATTTACAAAAGTTATGACCCAAATGACAAACTCTGAAATACCATTTAGAATACCTGCAAATATCTACACATTACATTTTTGTAAACTTAAAGTTGCAGCTAAGTTAACTAACTTAAAACATGTTATAGGTCGAGTAAAGTAAGTAAACGTTTCATATTTATTGTTGCTAACTTTACTGTTCATCCAGAAATGACGCTGGAGTGCTACCAGCATCATATTTTAAGCAGAGGGCCACCGAAAAGTTAAAAAAACGTGTTGGTTTTTCACATAAAACAAAGAAACACAGCAAAAAACATATATTTTTTATATCCGATTGCAGTTTTATTTTACAGTATTGTAGGAAATCATTGTTGTTGGAAACCACTGTTCTACCTGTCAGGATTTAGGAGCTCTCCTGCACCTCCACACTCATTTTAAAAAGCTAATTGCACAAACCATTCAGGAAACTCCAGCCCTGCAGCTCCTGCAGCTCCGAGGATTAAAGACCTACTGCTCCTCGCTTCCAGCCTACTGTGGTTCCTCTACATCATATATATGAATAAATTATAGAAGAAAAAAGAGAGTTTGAAATGATTGAAATTAATTGAGGCTCGCAAACCAACAACATTAGTTAAAGTCACTTCAAAGGGAACTTCAAAAATGTCCATCTTCAAAAGAGTAAATTATCAAAGGACCCGTGGATTTGTGTGTGTTTGTGGGCGTGTGTGTGTGTGCCACCGCTCTCACATTGTTTTATCGATTGTTCAGGTCTTTATCCGATATCAGGACCCTCAGGATGTCTTTTCCTTCTGAGGCTCAGAATCTATTTCAGGCTCTCTTTTTATATCTCAGTGCAGAAGCTTTATTTAGACACAAACGGTGACGAATTCCTGCACATAAACACGTCCAAACAGACCTTCATCACGACGATTTTTCTCTTCTGTGTTACATTTTTACACACCATTCATTATCTGAATAAAAGCCACTGTAAAGAGGAAGGCCCAGCGACGACAAGGACAAAGACCGATCACGTGGCTCCACCTAGTGGCTGCAAGGAGGAGCTCTATGGAAATACAGTAAGTGATCATTTTTCCTGTCTTATGTTTCAGTTTTATGCAAAACATCTTGCTCGTGCTGTTTTATTTTGTTGTTATTTCTTTTGCTTTTTATGTCCATGTTCCAAGATTGTTAAGTGTTTATTGTTTTAGGACATTAAAATCGGGTTATAGTATAATAATAATGTAGAATCAATACTTTAGGTAAAAGATTCTCTTAAAATTGCTTAAAACTGACTTCATGCATTATCCATACGTTCACTTTTTACCTGTATATGTGACATTTTGATGTTAACTCTTAATACTAAATAGGTTTTGCTGCCGTGAGCTACTGCTGCACAGTAAGTGGTTCTAATGCACCTGTAAACTGGTTTTGCCAACTGCCTTTACAGAAGAACTTGTAATTTCATGGAGAAAGAAAGAAAAAGACAGAAATCATTTCTATAATTATAATTATGTACAGATATTTACTGGAGGCTCAATAGATCAAAGTGAGTTTACCTTCACACACAATTTCACACGACTCTGCAGCAGCTCTTTAATGGTTGTTTTAATAATAATATTAACATTTAGAGATTGGGTATAGAAATGGATAATGGATTTGCTAAATATGAAGCATATAAAGAACATTTCTTTTTTGAAAGGTAAACCAATGATCAAAGACGAAGGTGGGACAATAAGAGGAGAACATACCATGAAGTTTGTGTTAAAGGAAGATCTGGATTAAGATATAATTTAAGACACTGGTTGAAATAATAATAATGAAATAAAAAGTTATTTTTAATAGACTAATGTAAACTTAATTATACTGAATATATTATTATTATAATTATTATTCTCATTATTATTAAGATGTATTAACAAACACAGGGTTGTTAATTAATTAATTGTTTATTTTTATTAGACTAATGTGAACTTTAATAGCTGCTGCTCTACCGACTGTCCGGTAGGTGGCGATATGCGGGTTTAAATTGAGATTACAATCCGCCAGAAAGACGAAGAACAAGAATCTGGAGAATCTCTTTTGTTCTCTTTTGGCTTTTTAGAGGTAAAACACCGGATTCACCTCCGTTTGGTAAGTTTTTAGAATATTTATCTCTTTGTGTAGTTACTAGTTACTTTTCCCTCCAACAATGAATAACGTTTAAACCTTAAAGTTAATACACGAGAGGCACAAACCTCGTAAGCGTTCAGTCCTATTTAACGACTCTGTTTCCCACTGAAAGAGCGCAGCTGCAGCGGCGGCCGAGGAGACAAAATGTACAGTTTGTACAGAATACACTTTATCTTTAGGGATTATATTTATGCCGAAGTGACAGTCAGACTGTGGACATGTAACACACTTTATCTTGTATTTCTAGAGATAAGTGTTTTTGCGCACATGTTAGAAATAGTTAAAATGTGATATTTTTTAAAGGGAGTTTGGCGCAGGGAGCTTTTAGTGGGCGTTTTGTCGCCACTACACAAACACTAGGTAACTGGTAAAGTTTGATAATGCTGTCTGACAGTCACTGCTGTTAGTTATTAGTTTGATTAATGGTTTAATAATGTGTGTATTGATCACTGATGGGCTGATCAGGCAGTGTGCTGTACATTGCATTTTTAAACTTCTTTCCTAATTAGGGATCCAAGCCTGAACTCACCATAATCTTCCTCCTGTATCCAACCTGTATAATTCACTCTTAATCTTCTGTCTTTTAGGTCGATGAACCTCTGACTCGCTGCGGTGGAGCTCATGGCGTCGCCCAGCGGTCTGTCCCTGCTGGGCTTCAGGCAGCTGTCGGTCTACCTGGTGGACTGTTTGAAGACCCCGGCAGACGTGAGACCAGCTGTGAGACCGGGACCAGAAGGTGAGCAGCCGACATGACAATCCCTCCAGAAACAAAGCATCACTTTCTCCCCTCTAAGCCAAAAAGTTGACCTTCTGAAAACGTATACAGTACACAATATTTCATCTGCTTGTACAGCCAAAAGCCAAAACCACTGCAGCTTTTTTCCAAGCGCTGACTCTTGACTTGACTTTTGTAATTTTCCCAGTGACTGAATTGATTCCAACCAATAACCAGCAACAGGTTCAGTTCCTCACGTTTATAAAAAAAACAAATTTCATGAAAATCAGTTCAGAATGAAACAAGTTACTGTTGATTTTGTAAGTCTGAATCTCTCAGTATTCAGAATTAACCTTTTGATAAAGGTTCCAAAATCTGGTGGAAGCTGTTAGTGTTCGCAGGCTTTGGGTCACATACTGTTTCCATTTCACACGATATCTTGCATGTGAGGCTCTTTGAAACTGCCCCGGTGTATGAATTGTGCTTTATAAATCTACCTGTCTTCCCTTCAGTCCTCTCTCTGAAGGAGCCGGACTACGGGGAAACTTCGGAGCTGACTGGGCAGTTGGTGGATTTGGCAGCTGATCCGAGTCGCGCCGGCATCGAGGTGGCGCTAAAAGAGGAGTGTGAACAGTCGGAGGCAGACTTTGAGAATGTACAGCGGACGCCGGACGCGATAAAGCTGGAGTCAGACCAGCAGCCAGACTGGTGTGACGATGGAGCAGAAAACGATTTGCTTAAAGAACAAACAACGAATTGCGATGAAGTCCCCAAATGTGAGGAGACTAAAACCGAGGAAACGGATGAACTGCAGTGGAGTCACGCAATGTTAGTGATGCAGGAGGGCGGTGGCGACTCCGACGGGCTCGTACAGAACTATAAAATATCCCCTAAAGCTGCCCTGATCTGTAATTCAGAGGAACACCGAGGGGAAGACAACGTACCCACGCCGGAGGAACATGAAGCTGAAGATGAAGAAGCCTCTGAGCCTGGAGGTGGAGGTGAATGTTAAAATTGAAAATGAATGCTTAAAGGAGTTTTATGTAAGAACTGAGTACCTGTCAAATTCACTGCTCAAGCAAACGGTGGGCAGAATATCACCCGAAGGTTAAGCTAAGTAGCAGCTGCTGTGAACTCAGTTAGTGCCGTGCAGGAAACCTAAAACCTAAAACATAAAATCCAACATGAAACAAAATAGGGGGAATTATAAGAATAATTGCTTCTGGAAATGTAAAACATAGAAAGTAAATCTTAATCTCTAGACATAAATAAGAAACAAAATAAACCCATGAGGAGCAATCTAATGATTATGTTCAGATAATCGATTCATCATTGTGTCTGTAAAATATCTGCAAATTGTGAAAGATGCCCAAAGCCTCCGGAGATGTTTTGTTTTATTTGACCAACAGTCCAAAACCCAAATATATTCAATTAACCATCATAGAAGAGAGAATATTTAATTAACTGAATCACCAAAACAATAAATAATCTGTCCAGCTCGTTGTTATTAAATGATCCTAAACTATGAATACTAACTATATTCATTGTGTGTTTGTTCCTTCCTCGACAGATGAAAACCAACCAAAGAAGAACGAGCAGGAAGGTGCGTCCAAAGCTCGACATCACCGCTGTGAGAACTGTGGAAAGTCCTTTGCGAGGAGGAGCAACGTTGTCAGACACAAGCGGTATCACTGCGGCGCCGCGAGAGTTACGCCAAGCCGGCCAGAGTCGGAACAGACTCAACGCCATATGAGACTGCATGTGCGTGTCCACAGGGAGAACAGGGAGAATCAGGAGGAAAACTCTGGAGAGGCTCCACGAGAGAGACATCACGCCTGCAAACAATGCAATAAGAGATTCTACTCATTGCACAACCTCCGACAGCACCTCCCCATCCACACGGGAGAAAAATCTCACAGCTGTGACGTGTGTGGGAGGCAGTTTGGGAGAGAGGGCACTCTGAAGGAGCACCAGCTGATTCACACAGGGGAGAAACCGTTTAAATGCGAACAGTGTGGCAAAAGTTGTACCAGGAGGGGAGACCTCAAAACACACATGCTCAGTCACTCAGAGGAGAGACCGTACGGTTGCAGCTACTGCGCGAAGAGCTTCAAGCAGCAGGCGAAGCTGAAGCAGCACGAACGGGTCCACACGGGGGAAAAACCGTTTCAGTGCAAGTTCTGTCCGAAGCATTTTAGAGTCAAACTCTTGCTGGTGGCGCACCAGTACACACACACGGGAGAGAAACCCTTCAAGTGCACACTGTGTCCTAAGGCCTTCAGCATGAGAAACAACCTGAAGAAGCACCAGATGATACACACCGGGGAGAAACCGCACCGCTGCTCACACTGCGGCAAGAGCTGCCGACTACTGCAGCACCTGATCTTCCATGAACGCGGCCACACAGGGGAGAAACCGTACAAGTGCGACGAGTGCGGGAAAGGTTACGCCCATCCAACGAGTCTGAAAAAACACCAGTCCACTCATGAGGAGAAACCGCCGCGCTGTTCCCTATGTGGGCGAGAGTTCGCCGATCGAGCAGAGCTGAGCAGCCACAAGTGTGGTGGGACAACGGAGAGACCACACCGCTGCTCTCAGTGCGGCAAGTGCTTTTCCCAGCTCGTGAACATGAAGAAACACCAGCTGATCCACACGGGGGAGAAACCCTACGACTGTAAGGAGTGCGGGAAGCAATTCAACCATAAGAGTAACCTCACTAAACACATACGTGTTCACACAGGCGAGAAGCCGTTCGAGTGTGAACACTGTAAGAGGGGCTTCAGGCTCCTGCAGCACCTCAGAAGCCACCGATTAACACACAAGAAGAAAGATTAGAGACACTGGATCTGAAATGTATCTTTTGTGGCAGCTGCCATGGCTCAGGAGAGAGAGTTTGTTTGATCGACAGCTCGTCGCCGTGAAGAGTCTTAGTCGACCCACCTTAATCGGATAGTCGCACAAAAGAAATAAATCTCGGTTCGGGAGCTTGGGCCTGAAAGATACTAAAACAGAAGTTATCAACAGTTTTCCTTATATAAGTAACATGTTTTATGAAGTTTATGTAAAACAAGCTTTGTCTCCTGATATTTGTGCTACTTTTTATACAATTCTCTACATATATTTAAATAAATAATATCATCATATCATGTTTGACTACTAGGAAGATCAGCCCTCGGCCTCATGTTCCACCATTTCTTTTGTATTTGACATTATTCACTATTTCATGAATACTCATGAATAGGGTTGAGTACCATTTGAAAAAAAGTACCAGTTTTGATATTCATACCAATATGAATATCTAACACTGGGAACAAGGAAAAAACACACAGCTTTACCTCCTTGTCATTTTAAATGATCAGTCATCTTTTCGGTAGGTGGCGCCACTGCTGCAGCTCATCACAGTGTTGTTGTTGGGGGGGGGGACAAACTGTCCAAGGTCCAATCCTTATAAGCTTGGTGTGATTTCCTGAAAATGAGTCATGAGTTGATTTGTTCTGCAAGAAAATAAAAAACTTTGACTCATCAGTTAATGTTAGAGTCTTAATACAGTTTAATGTCATGATTATGGAGAAAAATGTCTTCAAATGTCTTAAAATATTTTCTCAGTCTCATTGTTGCCTTCCAGGCATGATTACAACGAGGGACAAGAAAAACAAGAAAAACATATGTTGTTTATTATAAATATTTTACTCTATATATTTATTTTGTGTTTATATTTTTGGATAGTTGTTGTTTTCTGTTTTTGAATATTAGTTAGTATAATATAATATTGGGATTTTAAAGTATTTCTAGCACATTTATTTGAATGCACAATAAACTTAATTGTACCAAACCAGATTCTTAGAGTTAAGGTTACATTTTATGTGATAGAGAGTTGAGATAAGAAAAATCCATTATATCCGTCAGTTAAATATAAAACTCGAGCCAAGAAACTCAGATTAGCTAAAAGTCCGACACATAACAACAACCAGTCATTTTTAACTTAACTTTGTCCAGATTAAACAAAATGTACAAATTAGTATTTTGTCTCATTTTCTGAATGGAGTAGCTGTTTCCCATTCTGTGGTCTTTGTGCTAAGCTAAGCTAACTAGCAACTGGCTCCAGCTTCATATTTGATGGGCAGACATGCGATCGGAGTCAATCTTCTCATCTAAAGGCCCAAGTATGCTTGCCGTTTGAGACCTGTCGTGCGACACTGTGACGTCAAAATGACGTAGATCTCGCTGGCGCGCCAGGATTTTGGCCCGCTCGCGCAAGGTCGCGCACCACTCTTTTTCTGAGCACGCCAAACCGGAAAGAAGCTTTCCGAGCAAGTGCGCCTCTACAGGCATCTGTACGATCATTCAATGAAGGAACACAGAGATCCATGAAATTTGGGAAGAACCTCCGCGACCGATTTGAAAATCAAAAAAGAGGTCACCATTGGTTTACCTTTTTCTTCTTCTTCTAGTGCGTAGAAATAGCAAAAGTTCGGTAGCTTTGCTCAGTTGCGGCCACCTCTGAAAGGACTGCAACTAGTGTCGCGACCAGCACGCCGCAAGTATAAATAGTTACGGCGCTCCCGTGACAGGTCGGCAGCGGTGGGAGAGTCTACATGGCGCTTAACTCTCAGCAAGAGAGTTTCTCCAAAATAGTGAACAATTTATTTTCTTTTTTAATTAACAAATTAAGTGTTTTTTGTCCCCAATGCTTGTTTATTTTACATTTAATTTTCTTCACAGAAAGGGAACATTTTTTTAAAATAAAGGCGTACTGTGTATATTTTGTAAACATTTTTAAACCCCTTAAAATCAAGGAAGCCTTGTGAAGTACGCCGAACCCTAGTGGGGATGCTGACCCCCAGGTTGGAAACCAATGCTCTCATACAAAGTACCTCATTTGATCGAAGAAAAAGCTGGAACGAGCAGCTCCACCTCTCGGAAGAAAGAACATGAATGTAAATTTTCCCCCAAAATGTCAAACTTTACAATTTTAATAAAAAACTGCACTTAAAAAAACAAACATTGAAAATAAGGTGACGAAAACACTTTCAAAGCATGTTCAAAGAACAAAAATGACCTCAGTGATTGCTGTACTCTTCATTGTCTTCTCATTTGACTCATCGTTGTCTCATAAATGTTACTGTCAGCACTGTTTGTCACTGTTTGCTCTGAGGAAACAATCTGGTTCAGATGCCAGTAAGGCCTGCAGTGAACTGAGTGGTGTTTGTGTACATTTCCACAGCAAACACACACACACACACAGTACAACAAACGTATTGATCAGTGTGAACAGCCAACGGTTGCTCAACTCCGATGTGACCTGACGGACTGATTGATGAGTCAGAGGTTTGTCAGACCGAACCGGGGAGGCTTCAAATGATCCGACGGCGGCGTCAGAGAGGCATTCAGCGACCGGTCTTCACACAGAGGAAGAACGACAGAAACAAAGATGGAACGACTCAATTTACTCGTCTGTCTCGGGTTGTTTTTTGTGACTTCAGCTGTGGTGAGTCTCACGTATAATCTGTATAATCACGTCGTTAATACAGTAAAAAAAAAAATGTATCTTGTTAATCAACTCATGTAATTAAATTTTCTTTTATTAGAAAAATAAGTTTAATCGACTGATGTAAATTCTCTCTCTAGCAATCTGTTCAAGAAAAGAGCTAATTAAATGAATTATATATATACGCTACTATTCAACTTGATTCTTATATGATACTTTTTAGTTATTATATTAATATATAAGTATGCGTCATGCTAACTTTGCACTTACGATCCCTGTAAAACCGATCATAATCATAAAAAATAAAAGACATTCTTTACTATTACAGACCTGCACTTTAGCATTTATCTATGTATAAAGAACTGTCTCTCTCTGTCTGTCTGTCTGTCTGTCTGTCTGTCTGTCTCCAGACCCAAGTAGCGATCGACCCCAGAGGAGCCCGTCCGGTGGAGCAGGGCACCAGAGGCGATAAATGCACCACTCAGAGGGAGTGGCCTTTCTGCACAGACGATGATTGGGTAACAGCTCAAAACTCATCCTCACCGTTTCTTTCATTATTATTATTAATTTTCGAATACAAACTTTGATTTTTTTTTTAGATTTGTGAACCAAACAAAAGCTTTAAGTTTTAGAGGTTAAAGCATCTCTTCTTTTCTCCCGTTGTCCATCAGAACCTTAAATGCCCGTCGGGCTGCAGGATTCAGGGTCTGATGGACAAATACGACCACAGCCTGCTGAAGAAGATTGAGAAGATTCGCAGCCTCCTGGACCAGAACAGGGCCAAGCACCGCTCCACCGACGTGGTGTCCAAACAGACCTACGACTACCTGAAGGAAAAGCTCATCGTCGACGCTGGTTAGTGTGTGTTTTTTATGTGTGATACCACCGACGTTACCCTGAGAAATGTCCTTAAAACTGCATTAAACAATATGGTAATTTAATTTAACTTAGATAATATTATATACATTACAGGGTTACCTTAAAAATTATGTTTAATCGTCTCATGCAATTCAATTTTCTTTTATGACACAAACTGCTACGACCTTTTAAGATAGTTTACCAGATGCAAAGCGGGTTAGCCTCTATTTTTAATAGGTGAGAAGAAACATTTTCTGTAAAATAAAATAAATCTCAACTTGATTTGAAATGTTATTTATGGGCTCTGGCTAAATTAATGTTGTGGTTTAAAGAAAACTGTAGCTCTGCGTGCCTAGTACATAATCTTATCCTCCCCTCGTCCACCAGGTAGTGACAACAGCTACTACGACTTGGCCCAGAGTCTGCGCCAGAGAATCACAGACATGAAGATCAAGATCGACAGACAGCTGAGGATCCTGGGTGCCCTGAAGGATCGAATCAAAGACCAGGTCGTCGAGATGCAGAGGCTGGAGGTACGTAAACAATTTTTTACATTTATTTCTGTATGCTTAGGGTATCACAAAACCTACAGAAAAAAAAAATAATTTCCAAACTCGTTTTCCAGTCATGGAAACATCTGGAAATTACAAACAAATCCTGGAAAATTTGAATAGTATTTTAGCCTATTTTAGCCTACATAAACTTGGGTGGATATTTTGTGTGAAACTCGACTGTTGGTGGGATAATGTGTGTGAAAACTGGAGATAAATGTGTCAATATGCGGCCTCCTGGTAAATTATATGACTGTTGGTGAGCAAATGTCCTGAAAAATTATTTCTTAAAAGAGTTCCCTAAAGAGTGGGATGAAAACTACTCATTGGGAAAGAGGGGAATCTGATAAATTCACACATAATTTCTGCATAAACTCATTTATTTGCTCTTCGTCTCATCCGTCAGGTGGATGTCGATATTAAGCTTCGTTCCTGCAAAGGATCCTGCAAAGGCTACTCTGAGTACCAGGTGGACCAGGAGGACTACGTGGCCCTGAACAAACAGGTAAGGAATCTAATTTCAAAGAACGTAGGAGGATCATTATGTAGAGTTAAAGAGTTATACGCAAAACTCACAGCTGCTACGACAATGATCCAATGAGTGAAAAGTGAACAAAACAACTAAATTGTCTCATTTGCTTCAACTGTTGAAACAAATTACATCAATTTTCAGTAACACAAATTCATTCAGTCAAAAGTTCAAAAGATTCTTCATTAAGGAGCTTTTACTTGTAATTTTAAGTGACATTAACTTTCACATTTAACTAAGTCACCGAAACATTTCTGACTAAGGACCTTTTACGAAGAATAAGTCTGTCACTTAAAATTACTGAAGCTCCTTTAACCAGAATGTTTTTTTAACTTACAAAATTGAAGTTAAATTTACTTAAACGTCTCGATGTAATCAATTTAAAAAATGTTCTTTTTTGTTAAATAAACTTATCTGGTTTTACAGTGTAGGTCAATATCTAATTTGGTTCATTTCTGTAAAGAAAAGAAGACACTGAATTTGTTATAAAAAAAGAAGCCTATTAAGTTTGCATGATTGTTGAAAAATATTTTAAAAATCCATAATACAGAGATTTGTATAGAAAGTTGCCTAAAAGGGAAATAATCAGAAAACCATGCCAAATCACTCGTTTTTTAGAGGGTTAATGTTTTTTGAATTTAATATGAAAAATATTTCATAGAATATGTCACTTTGTCAGTTATACTAAATGATTTATGGAGAGGGTCTATCTGAGGGTCCCTTAAAGGAACTTGGCAACTCTAAGCCTTTCTTCGCTGGTTTTCATTTTTGGTCAATCGCATGTATTTTCTCAGGTGAGCTCCACCTACAGGCTCCTGGGACGTGTATTTCACCAACGGTCGTAAAAACAACTCACTTGCGGCACCCTCCTCCCCCTTTCTACCGCTGCTGATGTGCCCTTTTTTCGCCGGGCAACTTTTATTGCGAGGGCCGGGTTGCCGATTTATGGTGGAATTGCGTAAAGTTTCGTCGTTTCTCGCTCAGTTTCTCGCTTCTCGCGGGTACTTCCTATTTCCAATTCTAACTGGGACGGTAGTCCCAAAGTTGCTAAGGGTTGGTTTTCCGGCCTGGGGTCGCCTAGAGGGCGCTGGGGGGATCAGGTCGCCATTTTCACCGGAACAGGCCATTTAACCATCCAAATGATTTCTAAACGGGTTTATTAAGCTGAAAAAGTTGCCAAGTTCCCCTTTAAAGAAAAACGTTGGGAGCCACTGGGTTAGAGACACCAAACATTATCAGCTTGTGTGGACTCCCAGTATCAGGTTTGTCATTAATACTTTCTCTTTCACAGATTAGCCAGCTGGACTCCCAGTCGGCTCAGAACATCGAGTCTGTGGGGACGCTCTACGTGATGAAGAGCAGGCCGCTGCAGGACGTCAATGTGGACAGCATCTACAAATCCAAGGACGTGGCAGGACAGCAGAGAGAGGACATGTTCCCTGAGGTGAGAGGGACTCTATGTTTGACAGCTACCGGATTGTGAATACGATTAAAGTTACCTGATTTATAACTTTTACGAAATGAAGGTTGTTTAAAGAGACAGTTCACCCCAAATCAAACATTTCCCCCTCTTACCTGTTTTTTGTCATATATCATCTGTTTTGGTGTGAGTTTTGGAGATATCGGCCTTCTCTCCAATATAATGGAACCAAATGGCACTTGTGGTGCTCAAAATGGCATTTCAAACAGTCTCTTTCCAGAATTCATCAAGATTAAATCATTTAGGGCAGGGCCACTTTGATAAATAAAAATGTATTTGGGCACCAAGGCCTAAACTACCAAACAGTACATATAGTATAGAAAAAATGTGCCCAACAGCAATAAAATGCAACATTAATGCAGCAGTAATATTAATCCAAAAAAATCATAAATAATAGTCAAACACATTTTACTGCACAATGACTTCTTTAAGTAAATGTTTCTATAATGCTTAATAGATGGATCCTTCCCCTTTAAGAAAGGTGGGCTTGTGCTTACCCTGAGTGTGTGATGCATTAGCTAGTTTTTTTTTCTCAAAAAGAGAGAAAATGCACGCTTCAAGTAAGAAAATAGTTCCTACATGAACCTGCTCACATCACGGTCTGTCTTTTCTTAACTCATCTAATCTCTTCCTCAGGTAAATACGGTTGCATTGATCCTAGAGAGGGAAGGCTCCAGCTCATCCCCGGCAACCATTTCCAAGGTCCCAGGTACTTCCTATTCTTCGTCTACACCCCCACCATTGTCCTCTTCAGGTTCCTCCTCCTCTTTCTCGTCCTCCTCCTCTTCCACGTCATCGAAATCCATCACCGAGTTGGGAGGCAACGGTGATTTCTTCGGCACGGGTGGAGGGTTTGAAGGTTTCAGCCAGCCGAGCACGAGCCACGTGTCAACTCAAAGCGTAACCTGCACCAAAAGCACCAGGAGGGTCATCGTCCACACAAAGGAAGGGCCGGTGGAAAGAGTGGAGGAGGTGATAGGAGGAGGCCCCGAGTGCCAGAGAATGGCAGACCTCACTAAGGGAGGGATGAGCTCCTTGTTTCCTTCTCTCACCCACACATCATCCTCCTCTTCCTCCTCTTCTTCTTCTGTGTCCCACGTCGGTGGCGCCAAGGGAAGCCTCTTAGGGGATACCAAAACTGGATTTGGGAATCCATTCGGCGATGACCTCGGCGGTTTCTTGACAGATGCCACGGAGGACGACCTTCCCGATTTCCACGCCCGGAGTGTGAAGACCGTGCGCGTTGAGAGGCAGGCCGATTATATAGGAAAAGGTACCCCAACATCAGACCTGGAGTAAAATCTACGAGGGCAGAGAACGGCGCATTTAGCTAGACAGCACGCTTTAGCATCAGCTAGCTAGCCCTATGTACCAAAAATAAGAAGTGAACCCTGTAAATTGTCATTTACTGCAAGAGCTTTAAGTTTAATTAGATGTTTTGGATTGTTGCAGACAAATTTTGGGTCATTGTGTAATCCAAAAAACTGAATGGAAACTATAAGGAACTTTAAAAACAACAAATATTTCACTGGAGTACATTTTTTTTCATGTTCCTTGACAAATTTAATAAAGATTTAAATAAACTCAAATAAAGAATGCTAAATCCTTTATTTAAATAAAGTAAAACAGTCATATATCTATGGAAGCCCATTTCCGCTAATGTGATGGGAAAGAAAAAGATTGTATAAGTCATTATAATGAGAACCGTTTTCAAAATATTTACTTTTTACACCACATTGGCAGAAATGGGCTGCGATACATATCAGATCATAATCAGTCTTTAGAAAAGCTTAAATGCGCTGTATGTCTATAATAAAAGTATGCTCTTTTTCCCGTCGTTAAACCCTCCAAATGACAGTGCCATAAAATCCTGCTCAAGTGCAGATTGACTAAAATTTACCGTTTTATCATTGCAATAAATTTCAGCCAGCCAAGCAAAAACCGGTCCAAGCTAACTCGCGGTCTGCGGTGTGCCCCTCTCTGTTTGCAGATTGTGTCGCAGCCTTCCAGAACCACCTGAACGGGGAAACAAACGGCCTGTTTAAGATCAGACCTGGCGGCGCGGACTCAGCAAAGGTAGTGGAAGTTTACTGCCAGCAGGAGGGGCTAATGGGTGGGTGGTTGTTAGTCCAGCAAAGAGAGAGCGGTGCGCTCAGCTTCAACCGCACCTGGGCCGAGTATCGCGGTGGGTTCGGGTCAGTCGACGCAAAGGGCAAGGGGGACTTTTGGCTAGGCAACCAGAACCTCCACCTGTTGACTAATCAGGGTGAGATCATACTAAAGGTGGAGCTGGAGGATTGGGAAGGGGGCGTAGCCGGAGCCGAGTACACGATCAGGGTCGGCTCGGAGGATGAGGGGTACCCGCTGCATGTGTCGGGGTACACCGGGGACGCAGGGGACGCTCTGGTGATGCCCCAGTCGAATATGGCGTCTTATCTGTCCCACAACGGGATGAAATTCAGTACCTTCGACCGAGACAACGACAAGTGGGAGGAGAACTGTGCAGAGATGTATGGGGGCGGGTGGTGGTACAACAACTGCCAGTCAGCTAACCTGAACGGGATTTATTACAAAGGCACATACAACCCGGAAAATAACACGCCGTACGAGATTGAGAACGGAGTCGTTTGGGTGACGTATAAAACGGCCACTTACAGTCTGAAAACCGTTAGGATGTTAATTCGATCCACTGCTTTTTAAAAGGAAAAAATGATCAAATAACGTAAAATATACACGGATTTATGAACTTAAACCCAAAGAGAGTTCGGCGACAAGCACAAAGAGCATAACATGTGATGGTTGAACCTGCAGATAAATATTTGAGGCCAAAAAAATTTAAGTTTCAGACCTTTAGACTGTTCGTAAATCATTCTGATATTTCAAAATCGTGTCATGGGTGTTTGTGTTCTGTTCTTCTTTGTGTAAATGTCATTGACCTGTTTGTTCGGTTCATCTGACCAGTGTTCCTGGAACGACCTGACGTTTCCACACTGTTGACTGAACTCTGCTCGATCAATAAAGATTCAATGTTCACTTCAGCTACTGTGGTTTGTGCTGTTATTTCAGTCGAATTTAGAGGTTTTAAATCTTTGTAAGTGTAAAATATTACATTAGTTATCAAAAGGAGATCAAGTTGAATAAATAAATCACTGGTTCCCTACCTTTTTCCTTAAGGTCTAAAGTCACATATTTTATGAATACAAAGGTACAATCAATCCAAACTCAGTAACTCCAATAAGTTTGTGTAAAACGAGTGCTTTGGATGAATTTTGAGCAGACTATTTCCTGTTTAGGGAACTTTTTTATACAATTCTCTGTATTATGTATTTTTAAAAAAAATCATAATAGGCTTCTTTTTTTTTACAAATTTTGTTTTCTTATATATAGACCTACACTGTAAAACCAGATTACATAAAAAAAAGTGTAAGTAAAACAATCCAATTTGTTAATGTATCAATCTTAATTTTGTTATTTTTACTTGTAATGTGAAAACAGAATACTGAGTAAAAAGTACTAAAAAATGTGTTTAATCAAAATTATTTTGAACTAAATAAACTGAGTTTGTGTTACTTAATGATGGATGTTATCTTCTCCACTGTTTTTTGAGTTAAAACAACTTATTGCATTACAGTGTACTGTGTTTATTTTCATGAGATATAGGCCCACTGTGTATATTTTTAAAGGTATCCTACGCCTGAAGGCTTTGTGACCCCCACGTGAAGCTTTGAACCCCCAGGTTGGGAACCATTGATTTAGAGGGTAGTTTGTTTTGTTATGAATGTGAGACAGATAAATCGGACATTGAAAGGACTCTAATCAAACACAAACTATTACAAATGATTACCTACAGTTTAAATTTATATGCATTTTCAGTCAGACAAAAAATAACCTTAGGGGGTTCCAGGGCAAAAGTCCTGTTGCTTCCAAATACCCAGTGCAAACAGCAGACTACATCTACATTTCAGTTATGTTATGCTTTAGTGCATATTATTAATAAAATACTACAAACTAATTGCCACACAGTAAACCAGAGCCCTGAGGGTCAGAGGTCACTTTGCCCAGTTGGTAATCCAGTCTTGTTCTTAGGCATTTTGAACTTTTTACTGAGATAAAAATAACAAAATAATAACCGACTTGGCCCAAAGACTATATTAAGAGGGATATGGAAAAATGCTGCATTTGTTCTGATTGGTCTAAAGTTTTGAAATCTGGTACCAACATACTTTGAGCGAGTGTCTAACAGTACAACTTCACACTCCATATAATCCATTGATAAAATCACTTTTTTTTACACATCAAAATCGTGATTTTTCAAAAATGAGGAAAAACAACATTTATTTTATTAAATGTTTCCCTAATTACATATTTTGAACACTCCATATATGTGCATATCTTTGACATTTAACTTGTTATGAGTTAATAGATACCAAATAGTTTGTTTTTGCTCCTTATATTTTGAGATACAGACAATTTCTTATCATACTAAACTTAGTCTTTTGACAACTGTTCCTAAAATGGTAGAAAAAGCTGTGAATAAGCAACATAAATTGAGGGATTTGTTTTATTTTTAGTACACGCATGTGACAGGAGGAAGAAAAACCCAGTAGCAAATGGGTTCGATTTCAGTTTGTTGAATCAATTTTTTTTTGCGTCAGCAGAGAATAAAGTCAACCAACCGCAGTGTTTTTAACATGAAAAAAACATTTGAATCCTGTCTAAACTTCAGACGACAACACAACTGCCAATTTATCATTGCAACATTATGTTCAGTTAAAGGTGAACTGACCGCAGTCCTGTCTGTGTTCTGTCTGTTTATCTGCAGTGTGTGGGAGGTTGAGGCAGCAGAGTCAAGAAGGCCGACAGCCTCCCAGTCACACCCAGTCCCACAGAGGACAGCGCTGTCGGGTGAAATCCGACGTCGCTCTGTGTTCAGATGATGATTGGGTGAGAAACACGCACACATCTGCACTTCTTACTTTTTAGTTTTAACCCTGAAGTATAGAACCTCATATATTAATTAAGGTTCTGCTGTTGGCTCTGCTACACTAAATGGAACATTAATCCATTTAATATATTTGTAATGCCTGTGTTTACCTGACTATTTCTTGTCAAAATGGATGCTGTGAAGCAAGAATGCTGCTCATTAAACTTACCTCTTAGATAAAAGATTTATTTACGGATGATAAATCAATCTCTGTGGACTAGAAAAAGGTCGGTTTGTGTCATCAATTTGTGGATTTTCGTTGGCCACTGCTCCTCGTACTTCGAATGGGTTAAACGCACAGAACAAGTTTCCCAACTTAATTGGTATGCAAACCTGGTACACATTCTCAGATATTATGTGTTCTTCCCCAAAGATTTCTAAATGCCCCTCCGGCTGCAGACTCCAGGGTTTGATCTCACAGATGGAGAGCGAGGTGGCGAGAAAACTGAGGAAAGTGTGTAAGACAGCAGTGATGTACGAAGACGCGACTGAGAAGTCCATGATGACGATGACGCACATCTACAACAACCACCGTAGAGTCATAGTCAACAGATACAGTGAGAATGACTATCACTCCCAGACTGTCTCTTTTGTAGAGAATACAGTAATGCAAGACTAATTAACAGCGTATTTGTCTCCAGCTTCAGAGCTCAAGTTCGTGAAACATGGCGAAGCATTGGCCAGGAACCTCACGTTGCTACGGAAACGATCCTCAAGACTGTCAAAGCAACTTGTAGAGCTGCGCCTCAACATCCAGAAACAAATGGAGGACTTGTATCGAACAGAGGTGAGAGGTTGTTCTTAAAAAGGAGGCTTTCTTCAGAATCTACAGTATTAAAGCACTAGTATGAAGGAGTTAGTGCCATCTGGTGCAATGTGGAAAGTGGAATTTCAGCTTAAGAGACTAGCTGGTGAACACCATGGAGCATGGAGCATATAGCAGCTAGATAGCCAGATATTTCCCTTGTGTTGACCAAAAACATCAAAAAGAGAATATTGGACATACAGGGATTATAATGTTGCTCTGTGTCTGCTAAATGGTTAATAGCAGCTGAGGGAGTTTTAGGTGCTAGTTGCTGATGTCTTCTTTACGTCACCAGGTGGACGTTGACATAAAGCTGCGAGCCTGCCATGGCTCCTGCCAGTTGGTGTTACCGTTCAGCGTAGATCATCCCATGTATCAAAACCTTCAAACTGACATGGACCACACAGACAAGACTCTGAACCAGAGAAGGAAGGCAGCACCGCCTCCTCAAGACATCCCACATATCAAGCTGCAGCCTGTAGATGTAGGCCCGGCTCCATCTGCCGAGTATAAGACCATCCCAGTGGTCCAGAAAGAGCTGTTGACCCAGTTTGAGGATATCGGACTGAACCAGGTAGTTCTGGAGGAGCTACTAGGGGACTCTGCAGTTGTGGAGGCTTTGGGTGCTGCAGAGCTGGAATGAAGAAGTAAGGAAGCAAGGAAGAGAAGATCGGGTATTTGTTTTTCATTTCAACAGCACTTGAAAAACTAGGTTTTGACAGGGCCTATTCAAATAAACTAATAATTATTATTTTTATTCTTGTTTGAAGATTTATAACCATGCTCTCGGATTCTGCACACTGACTGTTCCATGTTAAGAGTGTCTAGTTGTGCCTAATGAACACATCGTTTGAAGACTGCACATTGGCAAAAGCTCTTGTTACCTCAATAACTTAACAGATTTTATCCGTGAGAGCACACTCCTCTCTTTATCCTCTGTTTCATTATTTATCAATATTTATTTCACGGTTTTTCCATAATTAGGCACAGAAACAATTCCTGTCAGCACACTACTGTCATTTCTGTATACATTGAAGTAGCTGCATGGTTTCCATCATTTTATTATTCACAGATCCTCTAATAAAAGAGTAAGCTCTGACCTGTATTGCTTGTGTTTTTTTTCCCCAAAGCACTACTGTGTAGGGGTAGGAGAAAAATTTGTTTCTCGGATGCATCGTGATTATCGCTAGAATGATTAGGTCTCGCAGAGTAAACAATCAGAAAATTAAAACTAAATTCTTGGCTGAGGTGACGTTCTGCGAGTTGAGCTGCTCTCATTGGTTGCACAGTTTTGACTCATTCGTAGCAGGAAACAATGGTGGCTTGCCCGGTCACACACAATCTCGTATTACAGATAAATATAATATAAATAAATAAATATGTTTCTGAAACGATTTTAGGTGAGAAATCAAGTATCAGAATCTTTTCTTCTTCATATTTAATCAGCACTGCCTAGTTTTTTTTACATTTTTTAAAGTATATTTATTGGGCTTTTATTGCCTTTATTATAGTGACAGCTGAAGACAGACAGGAAAGGGGGGCAGAGAGAGGGGATGACACGCAGCAAAGGGCCGCAGGTCGGATTCGAACCCTGGGCCGCTGCAGCAAGGACTCAGCCTCGGTACATGGGTCGCCAGCTGAACACTGCCAAGTTTGACAGTTTGATTGAGTTTGGTGCGTTGGCTGGAAGACTCACTGAGAATGAGCTGTCAATCACAAGGATGCCCCGCCCTAAAGCATACCCTGCTTTATGGTCTATTTTACTCTAAATGGGACCATAATTTACTAAATGAACATCATGCTGTGTTGAAAAGGACTTGAAACTGACGATTAAGATCAAAAACTCATAAGACTGAGCTAAAAAATGAAGTCAGAAGTTGACTCATTTCTCCATAAGAGTGCATATCTGGTATAAGTTATATGTAAAAATAAATCATAAATAGAAATTAACATTTTTTATACATTGATAATTGTTTTATAATCGCATAGTAACCCTCAGAACTGAATCGTGAGGTGCCCAGACACCTCCACTATTGTGGTAAATTCTTGTCTTGAAACCAATTTTAGTTCTGTACATTTTTCTCCACAATATGCATTTCTGTTTTAGTTACTCAAGATGGAGCAGAAGGGATTTACTTTCTTGTTTAGCAGGAATGTCAAAAATTACTGTAGTGGGTACATTTGTTTACTTTTCTACAGTCCCTGAAATGCAATGAAATAACAACCAGACCATACAGGAAGTATGTTGCTCAATGAATTTATTGAG